CGGGGCATGGAGTGGGGCCGACGACCCGAGGAAGTGTTTCCCACCTGGGGATAATTAGCATAAATTTACCTGCGAGCTTCCGCTGAAGTCTCTAAAGCCTTGATTCGCCAGAGGCGGCGTTCCCTGCCGCGTTCCTGCTTGGAGGACGACGGAAGCGGCCCCTCGTCCTCCCTCCTTTGCTTCCTCCCTTCCTCTCTGCGAGCGGGCGCGCGCGCGTGTGTATAATATAATAAGTATAGATAGATGTGTTTGTATGGGCGTGTATAATATGATATATTTAGATAGATATGTCTATATGGGCGTGTGTAACATTATATATTTTGATAAATAGATAGATAGCGTGCTTGTGTTTGTGTGTGCATGTATTTATTTGTGTATGTATACATGTGTGTTTGTGTGTGTGTTCGCGTGTGCGTGCGTGTGTATGTGTGTGTGTTCGTGCGTGCGCGCATGCACGTGTGTGTGTGTGTTTGCATGAAAATGATTGGTGTGTCTATATATATATATATATATATATATATATATATATATATATATATTATATATATGCATGTATGTATGTATAAACTCTCCTTGTGCATCTGATTTGCGTTACTCGCGCGAATGATGCCCCTCACATGCACAGCACGGTGCGCTGGGGCAAAGGTGATTTGCATGAACAACTAAAGATCACATTCCTTGGAAAACAACAGCGACCCCAATTTCGAATTTAAACGTAGTATTTCACAGTGACCAAGTCCGTGTCCTCGCCTTTCATCGGGTCGCTGTGGAGGGAGGCGCAGCGAGTGCTTCCCGTCGACCGCCGAGAAAGTGAGAGCCGAATTCCTCACGTCTGACTTGCCACGAAGTTATCGGGGCTGGCGGTCCGTGTCCGAAGACAAGCTCTCTTTTCCTCTGCTGATCTTCGTCAATCAGTTTGTCTGTGTGTTTTGTTTTACGCTCATGAAATCAGGAAGTGTTATCTTACTACCTTGTATAATACGAAAAGGAATGGACGCCCGCCCTGATGCAACCTTTATTTTCCGGCTCCTGCGGTCAGGGGACAGGGAGGCGGAGCGAGAAAGGGTAACACAAGAGGCGGCCGGGGGGGGGGGGGGATATTACAACATTGGGCGGGTAACTTTCCAGGTCGAGCCACGCCCTCCGTGACCAACAGCGGCCCGCTTACCCAACGCGCCTGATGGGGGAACAAAGCCAGGGGGAATTTAGCGCAAGAATACCCAATATACTGAACTGGGGATGGATTTCAGTGTGGACGCGCTGGGCGATCGGGGGGGAGCGGTGCGGGTCGGAGGGACGGCCCGAATTTAAACGAACTTCGTAGGCAAGGAGACAATTATAGACTGACATA